CGGACAAGCAAAGTGGCAGGGCTGGTATCCGGCCGCAGTCCGTCCACTTGGGCCCTCCCTCGCCACCTCCGGCCTGACACAGCTGATTGGCTCACGACTGACCCCTGCAGGTGACGAGTGCAGTCACGAAGGCTTGCTTCTCAAAATGTTGGACATTCAAATTATTTAAAGTCTGAATCTTGCCTTCAACTACTCATTAAGTAACACAAACGTGAACAAGCTGAGTTTTACCACCGGAAGAACTACTAAACAGGAGGCAAAGTAGAAGCATGCTGCTCCCAGAGTTATTTTTAACTTGGTAACGATTATGCTAAAACAGCTGCACTGTGTTCCCAATGTCCACGTATCAGTGATAAAAATGTATCTCAATTTGCCAAATGAATGCATACTGTAGCTTTCAAAGAAAAATACATAGTGTCCATTAAAGCAATTCATTAGTACACTGAGCATTTTTCAAAGTGCACAGCACCTCTGCCACGCACATCTGCCATGACATGTCGCCCACTCCTGGGTCCTGGAGCCCTGCCATCCTGGACCCCGGCTCTCAGCTCTGCTTACAAGCTCGTTGGGAGTCTTGGGTCATAAAATGAAGGTGTTCTGGCCAACCCTACAGCCCTGGTACAAGGAAACTAGCCACAGACACAGAGAGCAAGCAGATGGCTGCCAAAAGGAAGAGGGAGGTGGAGGGATGCGTCCAAAAAAGTGTTTTAAGTGAATGGAAAAAAAAAAAAGGAGAAAAAGAAAAGGAAAACACGCCAGGCCTCACTAGCGGCTCCGCTTGGGTCTTCAAACGACGCCCCACTCCACCTTCTCCTACTGGAAACTCTGTCTCCCCCGCCTCGTCTGCGTCCCCTCTCCAGGCCACCGGGCCGGGCAGCATGTCTCAGTGCTTCCTCCACCCACTTCGGTTTCCACTCCTCCTAACCCTAATCTCACCTCCGCCCCCCTTAAAATACCCGCCCGACCCCACGAGCGCTCGCTCTCCCCACCGCCATGCTCGCCCCGCTCTCCGGCTTCGCACCAGCCTCCTCCCTCCTCCTCCAACAGGACACTGCAGGTCACTGGCCCATTCTGCAGGCTGCTCCTTTCTTGGCCGTCCCACCTTACTCTCCCCTTCCTCCTGCTACTGCTCCTCTCTGTCCCACCCCGTTTCTGAGCAAGATACAGTCACTGTGAGTTCGAGTTCCTTCAGCTCTTCTCTTAAGAGTCTCCACCTGGAAAGCTCCAGAAGCCACTGTCTGCTGGCCTCTCCAGTCCTCACCTTGGAGGACGCTCTGAGAAAGTTTTCAAGTGTGACATTACCAAACTTAATCTGCAAGTTAAAACATGCCACATAAAAAGGTGTCACTGACAGGCAGTTAATTTAGCACAGAAATATGGCCACTTTTCTAAACAAATGCAATTACTGTTGCATGTTTGAAGTAACAAAAAATTTAACTTGTTCCGTTTATGTTTGGCTAATACTGTAGGATCTTACTGACCAAAACTGTTACCAAATTCACTCGACATTTCAAAATATAAACAACTCTTCAAAGAGTCACTTATTTTTATTTATAAATTATACTGAGTTTGCTACCATGGTAACAAGAGCTACAACAACACACCCAGAAAAAAAATCGCTACGACCCTTCCTGCTCGCTCAGACTCGAGACCAGACCCTCAGACAAACGAGGAGCCTGTGCTCAAAGGGCACATTCTCCGTTCTGTCACTGACCAGTAAGGACGCTCCCAACCAGGTGCAGGCACACCTCGTGCTCCTCAACTCACCCCACAGTCCCTTCTGCCTGAATTCCACCTTCTCCAGCGCCAGGCTGCCAGCCCGGCCACACCTCCAAGGCCACCTCAACCTGCCACTTGCAGAAGTCCTGCCCAGGTGGCCCAGGGCTCCCCCACGTCCACCACACAGACCGACCCTCCCGTCCTGACAATGCCTGCACCTCCAGCCACGTCAGATGCTCCTGGAAAGGAAAAAGCATTTCTGTACACACAGCCCTGCATACTTGGTCAAAAATCAAGGATTTGTGGAAATCACTTATTTTCTAAAAAAGCCAGAGGCTCTGGCACTCTCATACATGTTCAGCACCCCACACACATATGCTGGTTCCTGCTGGGCATGGGGCTCATTAACCACTGTGGAAACTGCAGCTCTTCCCCAAACCATTTACCCAAAATGCTCATGACTATGGGATCACAGTCCTCATCTTCCTCTGTTCTCCTCAAATCAGCAAGTCACTCAGTATTTATAAAAATGACAAACCACGCTTTAAGCCTAAACTACTTATGTCCTCTTCCAAACACTCTGCATGTAAAATTTTAATGTTAACTACAAGATGTAAATTCATTTTAAAGTTGAAATTGAAATAAAATCATCGTCGTTCAAATAACAGCAAGCGTGGGTTGTCATATTTACTCTACGGTGATTTTCGATTCGATAGGCAAATCTGAAATAAGCAATATTTCAATCTCTGCATAATTGCTCTACATTGCCTGTGCTTTTAAACTTATATAATTTGACTTAACTTAAAAAGAACTTTTGACATAAAACTGAATTTTAATTAAAAAAAAATTTAAAACAATCTGTCCACATTTGGCTAGTACCAATTGCCTTTACGGTCTGTCATCAACCTACACTAAACACTTGGAAATAATGCCTTACAAAAAGGGAGGTGCTTCCAAGTCCTACTAGTTATCCACTTACCTTATGATGTGAAAATGCCACAAGTCCTTCTGTGGGGAAAAAAAAAAAACCACCACTCCCCTCTGTCAGCACAGGCGAAGGTTCCCAGGCCCTTCAGAAGTCCAGGGCGCATGGCGGCCTCCGTGGGCGCACGCTGGGGGGAGGCGCGAGGCCCAGCCTCCGCCCACTGCCCTCCTCACTCTCCTCTACTGCAAGGCTCGCTCTACCCTTCAAAAAGTGTAAATTCCACTCATTCACCAAAAAGTCGACTTGCATGGCAACACAAATGATGTGCGGTACATGGTTATGAGAATTTTATTTAAAAACCTCAAAATCTTCAGAGGGAGGATATATCATTCGTTGTGATGTCAAGTTATTTGCAAACAACAAACTATCCTATTAAAAGGCCCCTACTGTCGATTTTATGCCGTCTACAGTATAAGTAAGCACACATAGGCTGCGTTTCGGATTAAAACACTCTCATCAGTGTTTAAGGAACCGGCTTTCCAGGCTGTCTAAGCAGCCGCACAGCACACGCGAACAAAAACCAAGGAACTGAGAAAAACAGCAGCTCCGAGCAGCATCTCCAACACCTAACAGCAGATAAAAACCCGCCTGCGGGCCAAGGCTCCACTCACCATGATGGGCAAGGCGCCGCGGGGCGACGCGTTACTGGACAGTCGGTAACCGCATCCCGCCACGGCCTCCACTGACCGGCGACGGCAGGACTGACAGCTGCCCGAAAAGCTCTTACCTAACGCGCCCCGCGCTTCCTAATGCTTCCGAAACAATCATCTGACTCGGAAAACAAAGTTACGCTGAGTACCCAGTTTTTCCGAAATTTTAAGGTTCCGGGCCAAGACTTAACAACGTCTTATATTTGAAGAATTTTGCAATTTCTCAGCTATCAAAAATAGGAAGGGGCGAAAAGTGTCCTTGCAGCTTCAAATACACTCTTGGAATAATTCACTACTGAAAATGCGTAGAACGAGAAGGAAGTAGGCGACAACCCTTCATCATCAGGTATAAAACACGGATTTTCGTTTGGGGCAGGTCCGCCAACTAGAGTTTAACCACCGTTCGGTACCACGTCCGTGCTGGGCACGAAACACGCGCAGAGTCCGGGGACGCGCCGGACGCGGAACCCGGGCCCACGTGCACCGCGCCCCCGCCTCCTGCTTCGGGGTGGGCGTGGGGGTCTCTGGCAAGGGCTGCGGTCCGTGCCCGGTCGCGAGGCGGCTGGCCGAGGCCGGGACGTGGGGACACGGACT